ACCCACTCCCCCCTCCCGCTCCCCCCTCAATACCCAGCAGAAACTATTTTGCCCTTATCTCTAATTTTATTGTAGAGAGAGTATAAGCAATAATAGGAAGGAACAAGGGGTTTTGCTGGTTGAGATAAGGATAGCTATACAGGGCATTGACTCACATTGATTTCCTGTGCGTGGGTGTTACCTTCTAGGTTAATTCTTTTTGATCTAACCTTTTCTCTAGTTCCTGGTCCCCTTTTCCTATTGGCCTCAGTTGCTTTAAGGTATCTGCTTTAGTTTCTCTGCATTAAGGGCAACAAATGCTATCTGGTTTTTTAGGTGTCTTACCTATCCTCACCCCTCCCTTGTGTGCTCTCGCTTTTATCATGTGCTCATAGTCCAATCCCCTTGTTGTGTTTGCCCTTGATCTAATGTCCACATATGAGGGAGAACATACGATTTTTGGTCTTTTGGGCCAGGCTAACCTCACTCAGAATGATGTTCTCCAATTCCATCCATTTACCAGCGAATGATAACATTTCATTCTTCTTCATGGCTGCATAAAATTCCATTGTGTATAGATTCCACATTTTCTTAATCCATTCGTCAGTGGTGGGGCATCTTGGCTGTTTCCATAACTTGGCTATTGTGAATAGTGCCGCAATAAACATGGATGTGCAGGTGCCTCTGGAGTAACAGTCTTTTGGGTATATCCCCAAGAGTGGTATTGCTGGATCAAATGGTAGATCGATGTCCAGCTTTTTAAGTAGCCTCCAAATTTTTTTCCAGAGTGGTTGTACTAGTCTACATTCCCACCAACAGTGTAAGAGGGTTCCTTTTTCCCCGCATCCTCGCCAACACCTGTTGTTGGTGGTGTTGCTGATGATGGCTATTCTAACAGGGGTGAGGTGGAATCTTAGCATGGTTTTAATTTGCATTTCCTTTATTGCTAGAGATGGTGAGCATTTTTTCATGTGTTTTTTGGCCATTTGAATTTCTTCTTTTGAGAAAGTTCTGTTTAGTTCACATGCCCATTTCTTTATTGGTTCATTAGTTTTGGGAGAATTTAGTTTTTTAAGTTCCCTGTATATTCTGGTTATCAGTCCTTTGTCTGATGTATAATTGGCAAATATTTTCTCCCACTCTGTGGGTGTTCTCTTCAGTTTAGAGACCATTTCTTTTGATGAACAGAAGCTTTTTAGTTTTATGAGGTCCCATTTATCTATGCTATCTCTTAGTTGCTGTGCTGCTGGGGTTTCATTGAGAAAGTTCTTACCTATACCTACTAACTCCAGAGTATTTCCTACTCTTTCTTGTATCAACTTAAGAGTTTGGGGTCTGATATTAAGATCCTTGATCCATTTTGAGTTAATCTTGGTTGGCTATGGTTTTTAAGGATAGATTAGGTGGGAAAAAAAAAATTAGGTCCCAAAGAGATGAGAGCAAGGACTTATTGGAAGTCCCTTTGTGCCCTTTAAATGAACATTAGCCAGATTCCTACCTCATTTTGTCAACATACCAAAAATACTTTCCTATAAAAATGCCAGATGTGTCTTCAGATGCTGAGTTGTGAGTGTTGGGTCTTGCCTGTGGGGAGAGGAACAGATGACTGAAGTTATCTCTTTCCCTCTCTAAGGTGAGTCATTGCAGGGCTGACATGTAATGTCATTTCTCAGGAGGAACAGTTATTACAGCACATATCGGTTTGTACATTATCCACCCACCAGATAAAGCAAATATTCTCTTCTATTTTTATTTTGAAAAAAATATTTTCATGTAAATTAGAATCTAAAGCAGACAGTTCCTTTTAGTAGGCAAAATTCAGCTAAAGTCCTGTTTTTCTCAGAATACATTCTATACCTCAATTGCCTCTTAGAGATTTCAAAGGCTTTTATGTGCCTGGTAATTTGGAGGAATTGCTTTTATTTTGTGGTTTCTTAGGGACTTCTAATATCTCTCTTGTAAGATGTTTGTAGATGTCAATAGCTGCTAGCTCTGAAGGGTTAGAGCAACAAGATCATTTTGTTTTCACTTGTGATACCTTGTTTTCTGCATCTGCTATTTGTTCTTTCCTAGCATCGTGAGAGGTAATATAATCAAACTCCAGAGTTGCCTTTTTTTTTTTTAAATGAGGGTGTTTGTGGGTATACTCTGTTTTCTTTTTGTCTTTTGGTGGTATTTTGGCTTGGTGTTGTCCCACAGAATGTCTTTAAAACAGTATTCTTATTTGTCAGCCACTTTTCACACATGTAGCTACAAATCATCCCTTTATTTGAATGCGTGCTGAACTGTATTTCTTGCCTTTCATTTGTAGTTTGAGTCAACTGGCATTACTTTATACCTCCATGGTGTTTCAGAATATATAAAGTAAGGTACAGAAATTCAGTAAATCATAAGGCTAAGTATGGCAAATGTCATTATTTTGTTCAATTCATTAAAATTTTTGTTGTTGTTCACCGAGGCTTTTGTAATTACACAACTATTCCTTGTAAATAGATTTTCTTCATGCTTAGTGAGCTTGAATATATGGGCACTTCTTTTCCTGAGGGCCAATTCTGATAACCATTGATTTTGTCTTTATTAAAAATCCTTTTTGGGCATGGGATACAGCTCACTGGCAGAGTACTTGTCTAGCATGCACAGGCCCTGGGTTTAATCCTGAACAGCCTCCCCTACCCATACACACACACACACACACACACACACACACACACACACACACACACGGCACGTACTGTATCACTGAGTGCAATCGCTAACTCCTGGAAGTTGAATGTTATATAAGTCTCTTAATCTGTAGCCTCTTACTTTCACTTTGGCTTCCAAAGATATTTATAAAATATTCATAATCCTGCAAATCTGTTCCTTGAGTTACCCAACATTCCACTAAACCAGGGAACTCTGCCCCCTACCCAGCCCTTTTGCTATTTCCCATTTTGTTCTAAGATTCTCATGTTTGGGGTCATACACTGCTTATTAGTGCAATCCTGACACCCTACTACCTTGATCTGAGCTCGGCCACCCTTGTTCTTTCTATTGTAAGTATGTAGATTCCCACCTGTCACCCGGGAAAGGAGATGGTGGCTTCACTTCCTGGGAGAGAGCTGGGAAATGGTAATGGCCTCTTTTCTAAATCCACAGAGGAAATAGACAGGGAAATGAAGAATATGAAGCTCAAATTTCTTTATAACTGAAAAAATTGTTTACATTCCCAAAGAGGATTTTCTTGGACATATCAATGAATTGAAATGTTTTATGATGTGTTTGAGACATTGAGGCTTAGTTAGCATCTGAGCAGAAACATCTATTTCGATTCCCTTACTCTCAGTATTGACATTAGGATAATTTTAAAAGGTGGGTATTAAAGTCATGAAGGTTCTTTACTTGATAGTAAATGGCTGTTTAAGAAAAAATAAGCAATGAATATCTTCTTTGAGCACAGCGTGGATTATGCAGAGGCATCTTGTTTTGTCAGATGCAAAATAGATGGCAAACACACTGTGCCAAATCCTGTAGAGGATGCGGGATCAGTGGTATACATCTAGAATAGCAGTTCTTGTTTTTCTCCTTTTTTTCTGTAATTCGTTTCAAATATTATCTGGTTTCTGGAGAGCCTCGACTCTATGCATGCATTACTGCTCTCTTAGCATACTTAATCATTGCATATCATTCAGCATGTTTCTTTTGTGACTACTTAATCCAGCTACAGTTATTATGTATGTAATGTGTGGGAATACTGTACATGGCTCTGAGGAGTTACAAGAAAACAGAAATGTACAGACTGTCTGTTGTCTTGAAATTTATAAGTTAGTTTGAGAGAGACATTAAAGTAACCATATCAACCTTTCTAGCTAAGTCTCTTACTTCTTAAACACATCTTCTATGCCTTCACCTCCAGCAAAAGGCAAACTTCTGGATATCTTATGCTTGTCATGATGATTCAGGATTGGATTTCTACTCATTTATCCCCTCTGTCCTCTTTGTTGTTGGATCCTGTTTAATTCATTTCTTAAAATGGCACTCATATCGCTTAAGTTTCTATACGTTCCTACTCCTGTCATCTTCATCTAGATCCTCTCATTATCTGAAAGTGACATTGCTTAGAGCACTCACCTCTTGGGGCAAAGTTTGTGACCAATGATATTAGGGGAGAAGCAGGGATTATTTCTTTTTCTCTTCTTATTCTGTTCTTTTAAACTCTAATTTTCTTTCTAGTTTTTTCCTATTGTGAAAACTCACATTAAGTTCTACCTTGTTAATGAAACTTCCTGATTACTCTTAAACCATTTAGTTGGTAGTTTATATCACATAATTTACTACTTAATTAAAACTGCTGTCTGTTGCTATTTTGTACATATAGAATTTCTATTACTGGATTAAGCTTCAAGATTTTTTGAGTCTAGGATGTATAAATATATTTGCAGAATGCTTTGTATGTAGCTATTATTTTTGTGAGTAACAGAATTAGATTTATAGTGTATATATAAAAACTAGAAGGGTCCTAATACTTAATGAATTTCTTCTGTGTTACAGTTTACATTTGGCTTCCTTCATTCCTGATACCATATTTACTTTGTTTATAGGATAAAAACAAGAAGCTACGTCCCCTGTATGACATTCCCTACATGTTTGAGGCCCGGGAATTTCTTCGAAAAAAGCTTATTGGAAAGAAGGTATGTGATGACTGAAACATTTTTGCAAGTGGCTGGACTTAATCTAATCCTTTGAATGTGATTATTTTAAACTGGGCCCTCTCCCAGACTTTTACTAGCAGATGACATTCCCACACCAAGTCAAGTGGAATTACTTTGATACGAGCAGAGGCGTGTCTATATGTCAGGAGGTGGTGCCCCTTGGGAGAGGTTAAAATTGGGACCCTGACCACAGTTTGATTGCCAGTGCTGTCATAGCAGGTTCCAGGCTGAATTCCAGTTTCAATAATTGCATTGTCCTGAGCTCCATGCACTTGGCTGTCTTGTTCTTTCTAGCCACCTCCATTAAAAGTCTGGGGCCATGAGATTTACTAGGGGGAGAAAGTTGCAGCATTTTTATATTTTCCCTACTGTTGTGCAATAGGTTGGCTACAGAAGAGGGCAAGTCAGGCTCTTCTGTGATAGGAACATGCTTGGTGCAATGCACTGTGCATGAATACTATCTGTACTTCTATGACTTGTAAAATTTCCCCTAGCGTCTCCTCCAGGTATTGTGGATTACTTTAATGGAGAAAGGATATGTGGCTTCCTAGTAGTTCGTATGAAGGTTGTTGTGTAGGACGTTAACTTCATAGTCTAGTGCAAAGACTTGGAGTCCCTTGAGTATATTTCCTACTGTTCTTATTTAGAGCTTATTGGTCTATGAATATAGTGAGGTTTTGAGCATCCCTTTGCCTGACATCCCCACTCTAAAAGTCTGGGGAAGATCTTTGTCCTGGATATTCAAAGAACATAAATGAGTTGGTTCCTCTTATAGTAGTTGAGGAAATCTGTTCAGTGAGAAAGTGAGATTCATGTTTTCCTTTATCGCTCCCATTGGGGTTCTAGGAGAAATACCATATTTTGGGTCAATTTTTATTGTATCTTCAGAAAGTTAAGGCTAATCTTTTTTTTGTCTGGCTTTAAATCATTAAAGCTGTATTAGCATAACTTAACCTAAACTATTGATGTTTTGACAGGTTTGATAATGATCTGGCTATTGAACTAATTAATGCCAAGGTAGTATATCATAAATATAAATATAACCAGACTTATTATATACTATGGTAAGTAGGATGATAAAATTTGGCAACAGATTTTGAAGTTGGGCATAAGACAAAATTGCTAATTTTCAGGTAGAAAAACCAAACTGGATTCCCTAAAATGATTATTAAATCTCTTCAGGTTCCTTCAGAGAATAGGCTCATTTGTCATTGTATAAAACTTGGCAGAATGCTGGGTTGATTCATGAAGTGCTGGCGAATGATGACTAGCTCTTTCAATTTCTACATCCCTTATTAGCTGATGTAATGTCTAACATCTCTATCTCACCCAGTTGATATCATATCATTCATTCACTGGCTCATGAAGAATTGCATACACAACCAAGGAATTCCCTCACAAGTGTGGAACCAATGCAGAGTCACATGGCAAGGAGTGGCAGTATGTATTTGATCTGTGTGCAGCCAGTCATGAGCATGTATGATGGCACCCACTTGGTTTCTTTGAGTATTTTCCTAACCTGATTCTTTTTCTTGTCTGGGAACATAGATCACAGCTTGTTGCAGCTGCTGCTGAATGGTCCTGGAAGGTTAGCCCAAGGCTCTGTTTTCAAGGATTGTGTGCCAAGCCCCTGTGAAGTGCTCCATCACTGGATAAAAGCACTAATCTCAAGTGTCATATCTGGTTCCTTAATGGGAGAAACCTCATTTACTGGTTCCTATGCAACAGAGTTGATTAGATATTATTTGTGTTTAGCAGGAGTTTTGTCCCCTACAGTGACATTGTATAAATGACGAATACTGTATCCTTGAATAGGGAGTCAGATGTAGTTTAGCTCTGTTGGGCTGGAACATTTCTGATGCCAACTGCATTTCCTGACTCACCACCTGAAACCACTTGCCTGTCTTGTGGGCCTGTCAGTTGCGACAGTGAACATTCATGTGCTCTGGCATCTGGGAAAAGGGAGGGCAGTTGCTGCCTCAGGGAGGGTGGCTAGCACATCATTGCCCATTTCTGCCAATTCCCTTTAGACCTCTGCAGCTGTTCTGCATGGCACATGGTGATTAAGAGCCACCGCAAGGGAGCATGTGTGCCTATGTGCAAGAAAGCTGATTAGGGCAGCCTGTCATAGCTGAAGGAAGATATGGAAGAAAAAATCATCTTCTCTGTCTAGACCTTTCCAAAGTCCCTAATATGACAATTTTGATAGTCATCTAGAATGCGGAGAAAAAAATTGAAGGTAAAGGGCTAAGGTGTTTTGTTGGCTTTGATGGCTCCTATCCCAATTGTTGAAACTCACATTTATTTAAATCAATTTACGTTGATTTTTGTTTTGGATATATACCATGATTAAAGTAACCATACAGCTGTGGGAGCCTTGGTTTTATTATTGTTTGTGGTTTTATCATTTACATTTGAGAGTATTTGCCTTCCCTTTCATGTAGTTGTGCTATGAGAATCCAGGTTGGTTCAGTCTTTAATGTTTGTCCGGATGTCAGTAAGGTGTGTGGTTTGTTTTTGCTTAATAAAATGCTTTTTTGTGTGTTACATAGCATAGCCCCACCTGTTCAGATTTCTTATCTGGTCTCAGGTTAAAAGAAATCAATGTACATCATAACTACAGTACTCTTCTGTGGTTTTCATTGTTGTTTCTGCCTTTTCAACCCATTGCACGGATTCATGTAGTTTTTGGTTAGCTGTGGCCTCAGTGCTTTAGCCTCCTCAGAAGAAATATGTGCTCATGCTAAAGGGTGTGTATGTCTTTTGGATCAAGGGAGTGGTAGAATATGTGTGCACCCTCCGCATCCCCTGTTTATGATATGCCACCCTTTCACTAACATCTTAGCTAAAGAATATTCATGGTAAATGACTTACTTTCTTGCTGATTTCCTCAGCAATTCATCATGAAATGGGAACTGTGGTAACTTCAACATTTCTTTTAGTTTTCCAGGATGATATCCTCATTGTATGAATAACATAGTAAGACTGGCAATCTCCTAAAACAACCAATAAGAGCAGGGTCTTCCTGTGTGTATGTATGTTTTTTTCTTAATACTGAGAGATCACCCTATGAAAGCAAGAGTTTACATTTTGTAGTCATTTTGCTTTCAGTATAACAAGGTAATAACTGGACTCTTCATTGGGTATTCTCTCCTCCCTCCCCCACCCAGCTATCTCAAAAGATATCTTAGATCAAGTCTGAGTCCCCCTCTCCCTGACATGTATCACAACATTTACAAGAGTCATATGACTCATTCCTATAACTTCTGACCCTTAGTTGCAGAATTTTTATCACCATGAGAAATATTGTGTTCAAAGTTGGAATTTGTTTCAATATTTGGAGGGGTAGAAAAGGTAGAAGATGCCAGAGTTTCAGTGATTGCAATAGATACTCCTTGGCTGTCCCATTATCAAGGACCTCTCCCCCAAAATATGTGCCTTCTCCTCTAATTTTTTTCTAAAGTGTTTCTTTCAATAAGCAAATTTTAGGGGCAAGACTCATTTGTAAACTAACAGCTTTCTCACCTGCAGCTAACTAACAGGAGCTTCACCAGTGCCCTTTACACTGGGCTCCTCCTTTTCTTACTAGTATTCATTTCCATTACTTCCAGTTGCCTAGAAGGTCCATCCCCATATAGTTCAGCCTGCTTTCAAAGAGAGAACCTCATCCCACTTCCTCTACTCTCTTCCTGGCCACCCTTCTGGCCTTGATTGGTTTCTGGAATGCATTGTATTCCCTCTGGTGTTTTCCTCTCTTTTTTTCATTCTCTTTCCCTGTTTATGTTCTGCTTATCCTTCAGATCTATGTCAGTTGTGACTTCCTTTCCTTGAGAAAGATTTCCTTGCCCGCCCTGGCCTCTTTCCATTAATTTATCCTGCATACATGTTTCAGTTTGCATACCTATTTGAGAGGCCATTGTAAATAAATAGCTGTTTTGTTAAATTTATTTCATTATGTTAAGATTCATATTCATTTTGCTTGCTACCTAAGTGTCCAGTACAGTATGATGCACAGTAGGTGCTCAATAAATTTTTACTGAATAAATTACTGAGCTTAAGCTGTGAAGAACGTTTGTGCACCCAGATCTCAAATAAGAATATATAGAGGGAGGATGAGGTAGGACTCACCTGATTTGCCTCAGTTTTTAGCCATATCTGCATGGGTCAGGGTGAGATTGACTCTGCATTTCAGTAATCCCAAATCAATCTGGAAATAGTCACTATTATATAATGATATCTTTGTTCTGAGATAATGTATTTCCATGAGTTAGGTTGGTGACCCAGGTACTATTTATTGCTTTCTTTATTTGGATAAAATATTCTAAGTATCTAAGCAGCTTTTAGGAGATGGGATTCCTAATCCTAATCAGATTTTCATCTGATTCAAATTTGTTCTGTGAACTAGACTACATTTTTTAGGCACTTTCTATAATATCTATTCTGTCTTAAAAGGTTATGACTACTGTTTATTGAGTCCTCTCTTTGTGGTAGATACTGAACTTTAAGAGGGCACTGTTTTTGTTTTTAATTTTTACCTACACCTGCACAGTGTGTATATTGGTTCCATTTTTGCAGGTAAAGAAATTGAAGTCTTTGGAAATTAAATACTTTACCCAGATGCTTTTAATTGCTATGCTAAATTAAAGATGACCTAGATAGATTAGCTTCCCTGTTTTTTATACTTACTCTGATGCTGATAGGGTCAGGTGTTTTTGGGATAATGGCAGTTCTTCACAGTTGATTCTCATCTGCCTTGTCCTAGTCTACAGTCTTCAGGAGGTGGTGATGGCACCATATATCAGTCTTCTGAGTGCTTCCAGCCTTCTAGACATTATCTCATTAGTCTTTGAGATGTCCCTGTAAAGGGGTGTTTCATCAAATTGTTCTTCATAGAACACGTATCAGATTACATGTTCTTTTCTACTTTACACAGACGCTGGGCGGTCAAGGGCAGCATGGTGCGCCAGTGGTGAAGCTTG